AAGGCATTAAATTACTTTTAATTTCCTACTAATTTGATGAATTTATCTGGTAATTTATCTTATTCAGCATGAGAAACTTGTATCATCTCTTTTGGTGTCATAAAAGGCTAGATAATGTCACTTTAGGAGCTTTGGACCTGTCATGTAACCTTGTTGGTTTTACTGTCATTATCAATAGATAATAGGGCTAAAGTAGATAATTACTTATGCTGTACATCCTCCAGCTATAAAATTTTATGATTATTCATGTGAAATTTGGGAAGCATCTCATTTTCCAGAATTCTACACAAGCAACTCAGCAATTTTATACTGCTCCTGTGTTGTGGCAAACTTTAGGTCATATAGTTCAGTGAATGCCTTCACTTTTTTGCTATCCCAGGATCCAAATGTAAATAGAATTCTAAGAGGCAATAGGGAAAAGGATACCTTAGTGCAGAAAGGGGAAAACTTCCTTCCTGTCCCTGAATCCCCACAATGTCATCTGTAAATCTGACTGTGTAATATAAAATTCAGGTGGTAAAGAAGAAAAGAACACATTTCATGTCTTTGTCTTTTTATTTCTGTTTCTGCCAGTCAAATGGGGTGAAAATATTAGATAGAAAAGAGTGGAAGGGTATAAAAGCACAAAATTAAAAAGGGCTCTTTTTGAAACTTTGGAAAATTCTGTTTCTTTCATTCAAGCAGAAATGAAGCCGAATTTACAAAAATTTCAATGAACTGTAATGATAAAGTAAGCACGAAGATATTTTTATTTATTAAATTCATGACAATTAAACTAAGAATCAAGTGATATAATCAATGACAACAAAAAACTTCTTTTTATTGAATAAAGTAATAGCAATTTTCCTTAGTAACAAACTTTCATTAAAGGTTGATGAAGAAAGGAAGAAGCACAAAAGTAATGAAATGGAAGTATCAGAAAACCTATATGATGGTGCTACTGATGATGACAATGATGATGGATTAATTCAACAAGGAAAGAATGGAAAAACTAATAACCAGCAATGTCCTTTTAAAGAGAATGAAGAGTATGATAGGTAAGCCTATAGCAACATTTAACAGTAGATAATTGTTATTGTTTCATAAAACTAATTCTAAACTGAGCTAATATCATTAACAAATGTTATGCTTTTACTAGGGATATTCAGCTTTGCCTGTTAATCAGAAAATGCAAATTAACAATGAGATAACATTTTTTGCCATTCATAGTGATAAAGGTTTTATTAAAAAAACAGTAA